AGTTCACTCGTGATATTGAAACGTCATCAAAAGCATTACAATTTGGAAAAACTATTATAACCAGTGATTTTGTAATAAGTATGGTCTCAGCATCTATACTTTTTTCTTTAACATTGCCACTGTGTAAGAATTTACAGTCTGTAAATTGTGATTTGACCGAAGCAATGGCGTATGTTGATATTGTGCTACACGAAATAAATGATATGCGAAGTAATATGGATAATACATTTTCCAATATTTTTAAAAAAGCTGAGGCTCTTATAAAATCAATTGATGACGAAGAATGTATATGAATACCTAGAATTGTTGGACATCAAAAAAATCGAAGTAATATTGTCGTGAATTCACTTGAAGAATACTACCGTATTACAATAGCTATTCCTTTTTTTGACTTCATTGAACAGCTTCAAACAAGGTTCAATAATCATAAAGAAATCATTTCTTCAGTGCACAATTTATTACCAAAAACGTGCGATAAATTTGAAATTGATTTAAATGATTTTGAAAAATATTCAGAATTTCTGGAATTGGAAGTACTGCTACAAGAAATTAAACTGTGGAAAAGAAAATGGACTGACGAACTAGATGTAGACCGTCCAATTTCGGCTATCGAAGCGTACATTAAATGTAATTATGAATATTTTCCAAATGTATCTTTTCTTTTGAAAATATTAGCTACATTACCAGTTTCGACTTCTACACCAGAGCGCTCATTCTCTACTATGAAAAGGCTAAAAAACTTTTTACGAAATTCATTTGGTCAAAAACGTCTTACAGGTCTAGCACTTTTGAGTGTGCATAGACAAATTAAAATAAATCCAGACGATGTGATCGACAGTTTTGCAAAAGAAAAAAAAATACTGATAGACTTTGTGCTATAAAAATGTATTATTTTAAAATTTAAACTGAAAAATGACTCATAAAATTTTGTATTGTATTGTATTATAATTTTGTATTTTAACTTTAGTATACTTCAAAAGGTAAATTTTGTAAAATAATGACAAAGGTAGGTCATAACATAAAGTATAATATCTTGTTGTATAACCTAACTTAATAGTAAGACAATTTTTTTTTGTTTATGTTATGTATTAGTATTTTTTTTTAATTATTTAAAAACATATAATTTGGTTAAAACCCCCCCCGAAAATTTGTTCCAGCTACGGCCTTGGTCAATTATGACTATTAATAGATATAATTTTTGTATTGGCAGTTAGTGTATTTATAAACTCACAACTTTGTCTTACTTCTATTGATAATAAAGGCTATATACTTGCGAATATCATCATAAAAAACCAATTAACTACTGGTATTTGTAATCCCTTATGTATTATACATGTATATAACTCAAAAAAATTTGAACCTTTAAATGTTTATAATTCATAATAAACAATAACAATTCGTTTATATACATAAATAATATTGATGACGCGCGCGTGTACGGGTACGAAAACCAAAAATAAAATTATACAGAGATAGTGTTCCGTCGTGGGGTGAATGCGTTACAACGTCTTGTCTCAAGGCCATAGACGACGGGATACGCGAGATAACACGTGGCGCGTGATGAGTTGAAACAAACAAACATACATACAGGTGAAACTAATATAAGTGTGTTAAAAAATAGTAATTAAGCGAAAGTGTAAATTTCAGAATTTACTTATTTCAGAATATCAACACATAGTTCTAGATGAAAAAGAACTAAGAATGCTGTAAACATCTAATCATGCGTTATTAAGTCCTATCTGGAAAAATTATCTGTCGTAAAACAGTAAGAAGTCGTGCTTGCATTGAAGTCAGACCACCTGTAGTAAATGTTATTATGAATAAAACGTATTAACCACACTATTAAATGTTATATTTTTGTATTTATTTGTTTAGCTGTAGAAGCTATTCACCTGGAGTTAGTTACAAATTTAAGCACAGATTCATTTATTTTACTTCGGTGTTTCACGACCCGTGGGGGACGACCAATAATTAATTATGTATATCGTTTTGATTTTATAACTTAAACATTTTATATTTGTTTAATAATATTTATTTAATATTATATGTTCCTGTTATTTAATTTGTTTATTATATTTAATTCAACTTTCATTATGTTATAAATTTATGTTTAAAATTTGGTCCGGGTAATGTTGGAACCAACAGATAGCCTGTTAAATTAATGATAATATGTGATAATAAAGCTAGAGAATGTCCTACTCTTAGTAACGTATATTTATGTTTTTTGATTTTAATTGTTTTGGTCAAAATTGCATCTCATTTTCAGTTTATGTATTAAAATTCTAATAACTTCCAAAATATTGGTTGAAAAGTTGTAAACATATATTTTTACATTTATTCATATGCAACAGATGAAGCCTTTGCCAAACTGAATTTTTTTAATAAAAGGGTATTAGACTTTGTTGTTTAACTTACAACAAAGTTGTTAGTTGTAATTTATTTTTATGCTGGTTGTTCATTCTGTTTATATATTTTTTAATACATGTCCTTTTGTTAGAAAAGTGCAATCGGAATAAAATTGTTTATAATTATTCTTCTCTTTGGAAATAATTCTTTATAAAATTACAGGTCACTTTCATAATTGTTCGGGGACTAAACCCTTCTAAAATCCTCCATATTACACATATGAATATATTCATAGGTGTAAAGTAAATAGGTGTGTCATGAATATATTCATAATAAAGTAAAGTAACACATGTTAAAACGTTTTTTCGTTGTTATGCTAATGACACTTTTAATTTAACTAATTTATTAAAATTTTAAAATATTCATTTTTGCTTGGTCACGCTCTTAAGTATTAAAATGACAAAAATACCTAAATAGTTGAAAAATGTCAAAAAATATAAAATAAAAGTTTTATTTTTCAATTGTCCATTACATAAATCGAATTTTTTTCTTGAAGATTATCGCATTAGATAGCCATAAAAAAATATATTTATTGAAATCCGAGCTCTAGTTATCATATATTTGTTTTACAAAAAAATATATCACGTAAATAATTTTTACATGGTAATCTTAAATAACTCAACTTTTTGTTAAAATTATACTTGGCCAATAAGAATTTATTCATCCAATCATCTATACCTATTCTTAAAAAAAACATTTTCACTTTGGCTAAGAAAATTTGTAATGAATTCATCCATTTTTAATAAACGAAATTGAGTTTTTTGATTTTTACCATATTGAATATTATACCATGTTATTTTTCCATTACTTCAACATAACATTTAACATTTTTCGAGGATATTGAAATATAGAAAAAACGCATGAAAAAATGTAAAATATAATAAAAATATAAATTATTATTATTTTTTTTTTCTAAATATTCGTAACAGCTAAGTATTATAGTTAATAAATATCTAAAACACCTACATCTAACTATAGTCTGATATTAACATCAGTTATATCGGGTTTTAATTACGTATTAGGACAAAAAATGAAATTTTTGAAATCCTCAAAAAAATTGTCTGTGTTATAAACACAGTTGGTTAATGATTATAAACTCGTAACTATAAAGTTCTACCAAAAAAAAAAATTAAGTAAAAAGTTCAGCTGATTTTTGATAGATGAGTGTTATAGTCAAGTTTATAAGGCCAAAAACAAGTTAAACTTTTTTATATTTTATATGAATTGTAAAATTATCTCAGAAACTAGATTTGATGGAATAAATCTGAAACTAAATTTGAAAACAGCAAATTTTTAAAAGCATATTTTTTATAATTTTTGAACTTGGAGCTAAGCCTCTATTGCACCAATGTTACTCATTATAAATTAGGAAACCAGAACGAAAAAATAATAATTTCATTACGTGATTGTTGTGGAGACTATGTAAAAATTATTGTGTTATTTTGGTGTTTATCGTGAATGGATATTTTATATCTTTATCTGTTATCTGTAATTGTAAATGTATATGTTTATTTTATGTATGTGCTATAAACTATTATAGCGTTAGTCAGTTGTGCCGTACCGTTAATCGACGCGTAAGCTAACATTGTATCAATTATAAAACATATTTTTTTTCCACAGCAATATAATTTGTTGTGTTAAATTAATTTTTATCAAAATTATTTTTATTTTGTCGTAAAATAATAACCACAATTATCACCTGATTTTTTGTTTGTTATAAATGCAGTTTTAAAGATAGAACAAATAAAAAATATTTATGTTATTATTGACATTTTTTTTAATTATCATCATTCTTCCTACTCGAGTTATTTACATTAACTTATTAACAGTCGACTCTCTTTAGCTATCACTATAAACTTCCGAATTTAATTCTGAGAGTGAATCTTAAATTAATGGAAAATTTAGTTGAAAAATTTAGTGATTTTGCTATCTCATGAAAAATTTAGAGTCATTCGACGATTTAATATCTTTAAAAGTTTCTCATCTTAAACGGGAATATACTCGATAACAAGGTGAATAAACCTATATTGTTTGATAAGTTTATTGATAACAAATGAGAGATTGATAATGTTCTTCAGTGTGTAGATATTTACAAGAGACGATTATTTTGTGAGTTTTTTTAAACTTTTAAAATATTGAATCGTATATAGCTATATATATAAAAAAACATTAAATTATTTCTATCGACTTTTAGTTAGTGATAGTGTCTTTAGAAAGTTACTTTAATGAGAATTCAACTGTAATCAGGTTATTAATTTATGCTGCTATAAATATTAAATTATTAATTAACTTAATTAGTAAAATACTTACAAATTAAAATTTTTAAATAGGTTTAAAACAAAACAAAAAATAAACACGATGTATGATTATGATTATGATTTTGGATTGGACGAAGACAAAATGTAACAAACAATACTATAATAATGTAACTCGAATTAAATTAATTTTTATAATTTTATTTTTTAGGGGTATGAAAGTCACTTCAGGAGTTGTAACAATAGTAAAAGATCCTAATACTAATCTTATTGGCATTACAATCGGCGGTGGGCCACCAAATTGCCCTTGTATTTATATTATACAAGTAAAACATAATTTTCATTAGCAAATTTTATTAAATCTAATTTATGTAATACGGTATACTGTCTTAATTTTTAAAGATTTCTGATAACTCTCCAGCAGCAATCGATGGTACATTAGATAGTGGAGACGAATTATTAGCTGTAAATAATGAATGTGTACGTGGTCGTACAAAGTTACAAGTAGCACAACTAATTCAATCGAGTGTTGTAAGTACTAAAACTAATTTGGTATAAATTATAAAATGCTTCACTTTCAGTTTATAAATAAAACTAAATTATTGATAATTTTAGGATCAAGTTGTGTTAAAGTATAATAAATTGCATGCTGATGCAAGTCAAGGCAAAACTTTAGATATTATACTTAAAAAAGTTAAGCATAGGTTGGTAGAACGTATGTCATCTGCAACTGCTGATTCTTTAGGAATGTCCCGAGCTATACTTGTCAATGATAATCTAGTCAAACGTTTTCAACAGTTGGATGACATGGAGCAAACTTATCGTTTACTCGTAGAACATACTGAACGTGTTTTACGTGCTTTTTTTGCACTTATACAATGTTTTAAAGGTATGTAAATAATACTTTTTATATAAGATCCAAATAAAAATGAATTTTGGTTAAAAATAATATTTGTTCATCATGCAAAAGTATCTCCATATATATGTTTTGGGGATAGCTTAATAAAGTACCATTTAGGTAATCTTGTAAACGGGCAAACATTTTTTATTCTTATTTTTTGTTAATGCTTAACAATTATATGGTAATTATTTGATTAAAATATATTGCTTGTATTTTAAAACTAAAGCTTCAGCATATAATATTATAAAATTAAAAATAAAATAATTTCTATTAATATTATAAAAAATATTTTGTATTTCTTGAACGGTATACACACAGTGTAAAAATTTCTAATAGAATAATTGTATTTAGAAGTTTTATTTTTTCTAGCAGACGATTTAATTATATTTATTGTTCAGATACATTGGACATCACACTTCACTAAAATATCATTAATATAAACAAAATATCTTTAATGAGTAAACTTTTAGCTCTTCTGGATATGTCACTGTAATAGGGTATCCGATAATTTATAGTTTTTGTGTTATAATTATTTTTAAACAATTTATCCAGAATTTGGAGACGCATTTGCTGAAATTGGTGCTAGAGAACCTCAGCCAAGAGCTAGTGAAGTGTTAGTGCGATTTGCAGAATACCATAGACAAATGGAACGTCAAGGATTACAGTTAATTAAGGCTTTAAAACCAGTAATAAATTTTTTTTTTTTATATACTTATACGAGTTTGTATAATATAAGAATAGTCATTGTGAGAAGGTGGTCAAGTCAAATTTATAATTTTTAGGTTATTTATCAATTAAATTGGACATTTTCTGCTAGGTTTACTGGTATAAATTTTATGCTCACAGGTTGATTAGTTATTATTATATTATTAATTAAATTTGATAAGTCACATTTATCATTGGGTAAAATATTTAATTTTTTTTTCCTGAAAAGTCACAGTTTTCAATTTGATTACCTTTTCATACAGATTATCTTTATAATTTTGCATTAATGTAAACAATTAATTTTAGATTTCAAAGTCATTCGGTACATATTTAAACAAAGCAATTCCGGACACTAAACAAACAATAAGAAAGTACACAGATGTTAAATTTGAATACCTTTCATATTGTCTGAAAGTTAAAGAATTGGATGATGAAGAAATGGCGTATTGTTCAGCTGATGAGCCATTATACCGTTTAGAAACGGGAAACTATGAGTATAGGTTCGTCTACCTCAATTGCTTATTAATAAATATTGTATAAAAATATGTTATGTATTAAATTCTTAGATTAGTATTGAGATGTCGTCAATTAGCGAGGAAACGATTTGCTGATTTAAGAAATGATGTAGTAGCTAAGATTGAGCTACTCGAAAACAAACACGTGCATGATGTGGTTGGTCAGTTGCACGCTATTGCATCACAGTTAGCTGGTTATAATCAAGAAATGGGTAAAATGTTGGGTGGTGGAGGTATAGATGGCGGTCCATGTGATAAAACACCATTATTCCCTATTGAAATGGATTTAAATCGTTCAGCATTTCAATATGAATCAGTTCAGCCTCCTTGTGACATGACTTATGAGCTAGATCAAGATGACGGTGTAGAAGATGTAAGATAAATTTATTTAAACATTTTAAGGTTGTTTAAACATTAAAGATGTTTCTTTATTCATGAAGTATTTAGGAGGGGAGCAAAAATATAGAAAAAAACAAAATAATACAATTTTATATATAAGAAATTTAATTATTATCAATCTTAGTCTCAATATTAAATATTGGATGCGGGAGAAGATCAAGATATTCATTAAAATGAATTATTAATAATATTAATTTTATTTATGTAGATTATATTAATTGGTGTAAAAAAAAAATTAGTCATAAAAATTTAGAAATAATTATAAGATAAAGGAAGTATAATTTTTATTAATAAAGAAAATAAATCTTTTAAAATAAAATTCACGTAATCTTATATTTATTAATATAATTTTAACAATAAATGTGAAATTTTTGTTTGTAAAAAATGATATGTAAATAATTTTTTCGTTTCTAATTATATAAACATTAATTATTATACAATGTTTCAATTTATTAAGTTTTTTTATCATATTTATAGCAATTATCTTAACTAAAATAAAATTTTAGTATTTTATGAGAATTCAAAACATTTGATAATGATATAATAAACAATAACAAAAAAAATATATAAATAAAAAAGTTATAGACAAAAATTCATCCTTATCTTTTTTAAAAATGCTGTAAAATCCAACTTCAAAAGTCCATATTAAAGGTGTAAATTATAGCAATGATTTCAAAACTTGCACAAATTATCATGATACTATAAATATAATTGTTGTTTTATGTGAAACAGAAATTTTTTCACAAATATTTAATTTTTGGCTAAAATTTTAACAGTTGAGAAAAACAATGGGAATATTTAGATTCAACATCAAAAATCCTATTACAAACAAAAAAACAATTTCATAAATATTTCATATCCTAAATGTTTAACTGATATTGTATAATAAACAGTTACAATAAATATTATATATCTTAAAATAGAATAATTTATTATGTCATAATATACATTCCTAATAAATAATTGTTTTTTTCTTTCTGTTTTTCTGTAAATCTATATAATTTAAATATTATGTATGTATATAGGAAGTACAAAATGGAAATTTGAAGGTGTATAAAGATTCTCCTCAGATGACAGAAAATATTGATAAATCATACACACTTACACGTGCATCTACAGATTTAGCACAGTTGAGCTTGGATGGCGATTTAAATGCGGATAAAGAACCAACATCATCACTTCTTTTAGATTTTTAATAGCTTTAATTTATTTATTATATTTATTCATAGATGTAATTTATGTACCAAAGATTTATATTGTGTTTGCTATTTTTTTACTTAGTCACTTTAAATTTTTTTCACCGAGTTATTTCCTCTATTATTGTTAAACTTTTTGTTGACTCAATCAAATAAAGATAATTTAATTGAAATATAAATACTTTAAACTTTATTAATTGTAATGATTAGTTTTGGGTTGGAAAATGTTATCAAATAGCATTATTATTGTCAAGATCAATAAAAAAATATAAAAACCCAGCACAAGGGGGTCACGGCACAATGGTGACGTGGCTAGTTGGGTCAAGTATAATGATATCTGACAGTGATTAAAATCACTATCATAAAAGACGCTTCGATGCAAATCTGTAGATAGTGTTTAATTTTAAAAAATTGGTGGATTATTCCAAAAGCTACATAATCTCCTATTTCCTTATTTATATCCTGATTACAAGTTTTATGATTTATAAGTGTAATATATGAATAAATATATATAATGTATAAAGGGAAATGGTGTTATTTAAAAAAAAAAAGTATTTCGAATAAATATTATTTCTCATAAAAAAATTGTAGTGATCCATACATTTTTCAAGAAGTTATAGCATTTTAAAGTTAAAAATGTAAAATATAAATTCGAGAATTTTAACTCAAAAATAGCATACGGTAGTCATTTTCATCGTTTAGACAAAATAAAGTCCGAATTTTTTTTTTTTTTTCATAAAAAAAGTATATTACATAAGCTTTAATTTAAGGTATATATAAAAGTATTCGTATATCCGGAACACTTTAAAAAGTTGTAATTTTTAATTCCTCTTGTGGGCAGGTAAATAGTCAAATTTGTAAAAAATGTATATCAAATCATAGGTAAAGACATTATGCATCTATAAAAATAAAAATAATATTTATTTGTTCATTTTTGAAAAAGTTATGGCAGTTTTAGGTGAAAAAATTAGCGATTTTTAAATTAGTAATTTTTTTAGAGATTTCCCCCATTTACGGGGAACGAGGAAAACTTTTTCAATTTTTTAAGAGTAATGTCTTCGACTAGAAACGATTTGTGATCTTTTGACGTATCGTTGAAAGAAATCGGTTCGGTGAGAGTTGAGAAAAAGTAGAAACAGATACAAAAAAATATAAAAAACACATCATAGTAAAATTAATACCTAATATTATAAACGAAAACAAAGATTAATCAATTTTTTTTTATAAATACTTTATTACACATCAAGTCGTTACACTTATGTAGAGAATGTCTGTTGTTACAGCACACTAATTATTTTTATTTTTTTATCAATTATCAGGTTGTTAATTAAATAATTTAAATGACTAACAAGGGGTCTGTAATTGTTTTTTTTTTTAATTAATTGTTCGAAAAGTTGATTGATTTTACTAATTAGTGCTATGAAAGTAAACATTACGGTAAAAACGGTGTCTAATATTAAATAGACTTTCATTTCAGATAAGATAAAATAAGCAATTTAATTAAGTTTATAAAGGCATTTCATCTGTGAAGTTACAAGGTGTTTTCAGAAAATAACGGGAAAGTTCGTTTTTTGAAAAAAAATATTTGTTAATTCGTCAACTATAAGGTTGTCGTCTTCAAAAAAGTCCCCGTTAGATATTATGCACTTGTACCAATGCTTTATCCAATCTTTGAAACACTGCTCAAACCCAATCTTTGGGATAGTCTTCAGCACATTCAGCGATGCACTTTTAATGTCGTCTTTGCTTGTAAAACAACGACGGGCCTTTAAAGTTCTGTTTATTTTTGGAAATAGAACACATGGAGCCCTGTCTGGCGAATATGGAGGCTAGGGCATCGTTACAGTACTATTTTTGCCCAAAAATTCACGAACAAGCAATGAAATTTGAACAGGTGCAAAAGCCATGAATTGTTTTGTCACAAATCCGGGCGTTTTTTTCGGATTACTTCACGCAAATGGCGTTGAACTTGTAGGTAGTACTCTTTATTGACCTCGTGGCAAGAATTTATGATGCACTATGCCATTAAAATCGAAGAACACAGTGAGCATAACCTTCACGCTCGATCGTACTTGTTGAGCCTTTTTCAGTCTTGACGATCCAAAATTCTTCCATTGGGACGATTGAGCCTTAGTTTCAACGTCATATTCATAACCCACGTTTCATGACTTGTTATAACACGTTTCAGTTATTCTGTATCGTCGTTGACTTCATTAAATGAAGCATTGTTAACGGTTCTCATTAAGAAAGAAGCCGTAAACCACAACTAAAACAAAAACCGGATGTCCCACATCATCTACGATCACATCAGCTGTCCCCATATTGCATTCAATATATCCCGCCATCTCTTTTTTGGTCTTCCTCTACCTCTTATTCCTTCAACATTCATATCTATAACTATTCTTACAGCTTCCGATTCTTCTCTCCTCATAACATGACCAAACCATCTAAGTCTATTTTCTCTTATCTTATCCACGATTGACGCTACACCTATACTTCCTCTTATATGCTCGTTTCTTATTCTATCTTCTCTAGTCACTCCACTCATCCATCTAAGCATTTTCATCTCTGCTCAACCGCCAAACACTCTGAACCATACATCATAGCTGGCCTCACTACAATCTTGTAGAATTTACCTTTCAGCCTCATTGAAATTCTTTTATCGCATAAGACGCTAGACGCTTCTCTCCACTACACCCGTCCGGTTGGGTTCTCCTCAATGATCTCACAGCCTCTCATACGTCTTTCTCACCAGTTAAATCTACCAGTCCCTCGTTATACGAGATATCTTATAATGTCTCGTATACACGTCATTCAGTAATATTTCAAAATACTCTTCCCATCTTTTTTCACATGGTCATAACCCAACCGTCTTATCATCACTTTTTATACACTTTATATTTGTTGATAATCTTTAGACTATTTTTCTCTTACTTTTGCAAGTCAATAGACTTATTTCTTATCTTTCTTTGTTCCTAGCCTATCATAAAACTCGTCATACCTCTTANACACTTTAAAAAGTTGTAATTTTTAATTCCTCTTGTGGGCAGGTAAATAGTCAAATTTGTAAAAAATGTATATCAAATCATAGGTAAAGACATTATGCATCTATAAAAATAAAAATAATATTTATTTGTTCATTTTTGAAAAAGTTATGGCAGTTTTAGGTGAAAAAATTAGCGATTTTTAAATTAGTAATTTTTTTAGAGATTTCCCCCATTTACGGGGAACGAGGAAAACTTTTTCAATTTTTTAAGAGTAATGTCTTCGACTAGAAACGATTTGTGATCTTTTGACGTATCGTTGAAAGAAATCGGTTCGGTGAGAGTTGAGAAAAAGTAGAAACAGATACAAAAAAATATAAAAAACACATCATAGTAAAATTAATACCTAATATTATAAACGAAAACAAAGATTAATCAATTTTTTTTTATAAATACTTTATTACACATCAAGTCGTTACACTTATGTAGAGAATGTCTGTTGTTACAGCACACTAATTATTTTTATTTTTTTATCAATTATCAGGTTGTTAATTAAATAATTTAAATGACTAACAAGGGGTCTGTAATTGTTTTTTTTTTTAATTAATTGTTCGAAAAGTTGATTGATTTTACTAATTAGTGCTATGAAAGTAAACATTACGGTAAAAACGGTGTCTAATATTAAATAGACTTTCATTTCAGATAAGATAAAATAAGCAATTTAATTAAGTTTATAAAGGCATTTCATCTGTGAAGTTACAAGGTGTTTTCAGAAAATAACGGGAAAGTTCGTTTTTTGAAAAAAAATATTTGTTAATTCGTCAACTATAAGGTTGTCGTCTTCAAAAAAGTCCCCGTTAGATATTATGCACTTGTACCAATGCTTTATCCAATCTTTGAAACACTGCTCAAACCCAATCTTTGGGATAGTCTTCAGCACATTCAGCGATGCACTTTTAATGTCGTCTTTGCTTGTAAAACAACGACGGGCCTTTAAAGTTCTGTTTATTTTTGGAAATAGAACACATGGAGCCCTGTCTGGCGAATATGGAGGCTAGGGCATCGTTACAGTACTATTTTTGCCCAAAAATTCACGAACAAGCAATGAAATTTGAACAGGTGCAAAAGCCATGAATTGTTTTGTCACAAATCCGGGCGTTTTTTTCGGATTACTTCACGCAAATGGCGTTGAACTTGTAGGTAGTACTCTTTATTGACCTCGTGGCAAGAATTTATGATGCACTATGCCATTAAAATCGAAGAACACAGTGAGCATAACCTTCACGCTCGATCGTACTTGTTGAGCCTTTTTCAGTCTTGACGATCCAAAATTCTTCCATTGGGACGATTGAGCCTTAGTTTCAACGTCATATTCATAACCCACGTTTCATGACTTGTTATAACACGTTTCAGTTATTCTGTATCGTCGTTGACTTCATTAAATGAAGCATTGTTAACGGTTCTCATTAAGAAAGAAGCCGTAAACCACAACTAAAACAAAAACCGGATGTCCCACATCATCTACGATCACATCAGCTGTCCCCATATTGCATTCAATATATCCCGCCATCTCTTTTTTGGTCTTCCTCTACCTCTTATTCCTTCAACATTCATATCTATAACTATTCTTACAGCTTCCGATTCTTCTCTCCTCATAACATGACCAAACCATCTAAGTCTATTTTCTCTTATCTTATCCACGATTGACGCTACACCTATACTTCCTCTTATATGCTCGTTTCTTATTCTATCTTCTCTAGTCACTCCACTCATCCATCTAAGCATTTTCATCTCTGCTCTACTTCCTTATCAACCGCCAAACACTCTGAACCATACATCATAGCTGGCCTCACTACAATCTTGTAGAATTTACCTTTCAGCCTCATTGAAATTCTTTTATCGCATAAGACGCTAGACGCTTCTCTCCACTACACCCGTCCGGTTGGGTTCTCCTCAATGATCTCACAGCCTCTCATACGTCTTTCTCACCAGTTAAATCTACCAGTCCCTCGTTATACGAGATATCTTATAATGTCTCGTATACACGTCATTCAGTAATATTTCAAAATACTCTTCCCATCTTTTTTCACATGGTCATAACCCAACCGTCTTATCATCACTTTTTATACACTTTATATTTGTTGATAATCTTTAGACTATTTTTCTCTTACTTTTGCAAGTCAATAGACTTATTTCTTATCTTTCTTTGTTCCTAGCCTATCATAAAACTCGTCATACCTCTTAAAATTCGCCTTACTTACCGCACACTCGGTTTCTTTGTACAAGCATTTCTACTCCGTACAATCTTCTCTCTTTCTACTCTCCTGCCATACTTTAAACTGCTCTTTTTTAATTTCTACGATTTTCTGAACATCATCGTTCCGCCATCGGGTTTCCTCGTTTCTCGGTAACTCAAACTCTCTTGGAGAGTAAAAGTGATTTTACTCCTACTCTGGCCAACAATATTCTCTGCAGTATTCTTTACTCTACTGGTAAATTTATTCCGCGTGTCATTTATGTCTCCCTCCTCGACATCGCACGCCATTTTCCTTCTTACAGTCTTTAAAAACTCTTTTTCGCCTTTCGATTTCCACCGCCAAATCCTTAATTCTCCTCCTGCGTTCTTTTTGGTTTCGTATACTCTCTTCCAGCTAATGTTGTAACGGAGCTATGGTGTACAGCTCCATTACCACGAGTCTGTGTCGTGTAGTCACACTCTCGCCTAAGGTGACTTTACAATCTCAAACTCACTTTAGGCTCTCTCTGTTGCACATAAAACGGTCAATCTGTGATCTATTACTCCCGCGCTTATAAGTTACATAATGTTCTTCCCTCTATCCATAACGAGTATTAATCGGAGCAAAATCATGTGATGATACTATGAAATTCATGATTTTTTTTCCGGCATCGTTGTTCCCACTGAATTATGTTCAAGACTCCTCATACTTTTTGACAAAATTTTACACCGGCTACGAGGTTATGTCAGGTGACCTAACCTCATTAGTCGTCTCTCGCAACCTATAGACGAGCCGTGCAAGTATTCTCTTATCTCCTATCCACGGGGATTAATGACGTTCACAGTAATTTCTTGAAAACACAATTTAAAATAAGTTTTTGTACGACAATAACATTTTTCTGAAATTTGCGATTTCTTTCAAATACCACTAAAACGTTTAAAACTTTTTAAAGTGTACTCTTTCATATGCTCTCCCCTCATTACCGACATGTCCATTCCAATCTCCATCCATCACCTCTCGCCAAAACACTACTTTGTATATTTCATCACGTCCTCAATACTCGTATTGCATAGGCATTTACTACATTGGACACTTTCCTCGAAACTTAATTTTATGACTATAATTCTGTCACTTTTCCTAACCACATCTACTACTTTACTTTTCATCTCTTTTCAACTTTCAGCTTCATTACAATTCTTTTATAGCATAAGACGCCAGACTCCACTTCAACTACCCGCACTTAATCNATACTCTCTTCCAGCTAATGTTGTAACGGAGCTATGGTGTACAGCTCCATTACCACGAGTCTGTGTCGTGTAGTCACACTCTCGCCTAAGGTGACTTTACAATCTCAAACTCACTTTAGGCTCTCTCTGTTGCACATAAAACGGTCAATCTGTGATCTATTACTCCCGCGCTTATAAGTTACATAATGTTCTTCCCTCTATCCATAACGAGTATTAATCGGAGCAAAATCATGTGATGATACTATGAAATTCATGATTTTTTTTCCGGCATCGTTGTTCCCACTGAATTATGTTCAAGACTCCTCATACTTTTTGACAAAATTTTACACCGGCTACGAGGTTATGTCAGGTGACGCAACCTCATTGGTCGTCTCTCGCAACCTACAGACGAGCCGTGCAAGTATTCTCTTATCTCCTATCCACGGGGATTAATGACGTTCACAGTAATTTCTTGAAAACACAATTTAAAATAAGTTTTTGTACGACAATAACATTTTTCTGAAATTTGCGATTTCTTTCAAATACCACTAAAACGTTTAAAACTTTTTAAAGTGTACTCTTTCATATGCTCTCCCCTCATTACCGACATGTCCATTCCAATCTCCATCCATCACCTCTCGCCAAAACACTACTTTGTATATTTCATCACGTCCTCAATACTCGTATTGCATAGGCATTTACTACATTGGACACTTTCCTCGAAACTTAATTTTATGACTATAATTCTGTCACTTTTCCTAACCACATCTACTACTTTACTTTTCATCTCTTTTCAACTTTCAGCTTCATTACAATTCTTTTATAGCATAAGACGCCAGACTCCACTTCAACTACCCGCACTTAATCATACTTAGTCACTCATTGAGTTATAAAGTATTTTATTAATACATAGAGTATAGACAAGCATACTGCACACGTTCACTGAAGTGGATATTTTGAAATTTTAAAAAAATACATTTTTTTTTATTATTTTTCTTATTAGTGATAAATATTAAAAAAAAACCCAGCACAGGGGGGTCGCGGCACAGTGGTGACGTGGTTTAGATGGATCAAGTATAATGATATCTGACAGTGATTAAAATCACTATAAAAAAAAAACGCTTCGATGCAAATCTTTAGATAGTGTTTAATTTTAAAAAATTGGTGGANTAAAGTAAATTACATTAGCTTTAATTTAAGATATATATAAAAGTGTCAGACTTTCCGGAACACTTTCAAAATTTAAGTTGAAAAAGTAAATTTTTTGTGAAAAAGTGGTCATTTTAAATCCCCCCCTGTGGGCAGGTAAAGGGTCAGATATAAAAAAAATATATACCAAATGATAGGTAAAGACATCATGCATCTATAAAAAAAAAATTATATTGATCCATACATCTTTCAAAAAGTTATAGCATTATAAAGTTAAAAATATAAAAATGAATTTTTTTACAAAAATCGTATTTTTTTATAAACTTTGATGTCTATTTTCACCATGAAGATAAAATAAAGTCCGAAATTTTTTTTTTTGCATAATAAAGTAAATTACATTAGCTTTAATTTAAGATATATATAAAAGTGTCAGACTTTCCGGAACACTTTCAAAAGTTAAGTTGAAAAAATTAATTTTTTGTAAAAAAGTTGTCATTTTAAATCCCCCCCTGTGGGCAGGTAAAAAGTCAGATTTATAAAAAAAATATACCAAATGATAGGTAATGACATCATGCATTTACAAAAAAAAAGAATTATATTGATATGTTCATTTTTAAAAAAGTTACGGCAATTTTTAGTAAAAAAAATTGAAAAAATTTCGAAAAATAGCCATTTTTAAATTTGTAATTTTTTCGGAGGTTTCCCCCATTTACGGGGAACGAGGGAAATTTTTTAAATTTTTAAGGGTAATGTCTTCGACTAGATATGATTTGTGATCTTTTGACGTATCATTGAAAAAAATCGGTTCGGTGAGAGCTGAGAAAAAGTGGTAGCAGACACAAAAAAAAAAAAAACACATCTTAGTAAAACCAATACCTTCTCAGCTTCGCATCGAAGCTAAAAATATGTTTTAAAATTAGTCTAAGAGGGAAATAATTAATTAGAAAAAATTCAAACAAAATGATAATTGTATCAAAAATTTTAATTGTTTTCAGTTAGATCTGAGACATTTATATATATATATATATATTTATAATAAGTACGTACACTTTATTTTCGTTGTTATCAATTGTTATAAAGCTTGTGATGCTCTTATCTCTGTTGTTATCTTATAATTTGTCTTAGCTCACGTGTGAAATAAAGCATACTCAACAAAAAAATGTTTAAGTAATAGGCTCTATTATGATTGTCGCAAATAATTAATTATAATCAATTTGTTTTACATACTACGTTTTTGACTTTGATTCTCCAAATTCTTTGTTGTACATCCCAATTAATATTGGGTAATGGATTTGGATCAACAAGAACAAGACTTAGAAGACACTAATAGTAATTGTAGTGTCACTGCAGTAGATGATATAACAACAGGTGATCAATTACAAGACGATTTTTGTGTTGCAACACGAGACACATTAGCTGATGGAATAACATCCTTACTAAAACCAGCTATTGATCGTTTAGACGCAACTATTCAGTGTACTAGGTATGTCTTCAATTCATTTGATATATTTAACTAAATTCATGTTATTTTATTTTCAATGTATTATAAGTTTAATAATTTAAATATATTTTTGTAGATTGAGTCAACTTGATTTAAAACTTCAATTAGATTCTTTAGCTTCAGAATTGAAACAACTGTCTCTTGTACAACATTATAAATCTTCAATTTCAAGCAACACTTCCTCAGAAAACTCAAGTGATTCATTACCTAATAATTTAGATAAATATTGTACTCGACTTGTAAATACACGTTTAAAAATAACTGTAGTTGGCAATATTCTTGAGACTACTCAGGTAAACATAAATTATAGTTTTATTGACAATTGATATTTGTATAATTAAAATTAAAGATTTAAAATAAATTCCAGTATCACTGGTGTGTATGGCTAAATTGAAGAAATTGAGGAGTTTAGTAAAAATTAAAAAATATTTAATTAAAAAATTTGGTGTCTAATAAAATTAACCCAACACCACAAAAAAGATTAAAAAAAAAATCAGCGTATATGAGTATTTTGAAAACAAATTTTTTCAAGTGCTTTTAGTGGGGTTGAGTTAATTATATTTATTTATTTATATAATTTCAATGTAATTTTCCTTATGTTAAATAAAATGAAGTATTAGCTGTTTTTTTTTTTAATTTAAGGAACGTTTGAAAAACTTGTCAGCTAAAATAGATCGTGAACAAAATAAACGCCGTTCACTTTTGGAACCTAATACTCCTCAGATAAATAAACCATTCCAACAAGAAGAAGAACCAAATATTGAAGATATAATAAATGAAATTAAGATTGGTAATGAAAATGAGGAAGAGCTAAATATTACTAGTGAAGAAGAATATCAGTAAAAACTCAACATATATCTAATAGTTTATAGTTAAAAACAATCATAGCTCTTAATAACTAATCAATAGAAATTATACAAATGGAAACACCAGTAAGTAAAATTAATAATATACAGAATGATCCATTTATCATTCACTTTTATAAGGTTGTCAAATTTGAAAATGATCTAATTAAGTAACTGACGGGTTAACAACATCTTTTGGACCAGTATTTCAAAATTTATTAAAATTTTTTTACTTACTTTTCATTATTTTGATAAGCGAAAGGAAGAGTATAGTTGATAAATGTCTAATAATGAAAATAATTATACTTTCTCTGATAAATTACAGGTTCAAAAATTATTATTGAACAGTTATTCTCTTAATTAGATTATTTTATGTAAGCTAGTTAAATATGTGAAGAGTGAATGTGTCAAACGTTCTATATGCCAAAAACATATTTGTTCAGAAAACACAAAAAACAATAGTAACATGGGCATGTCTCACATATCGAACACCATCTATGAATGCAATTTTGTACAAGTAAAAAATTTAATTGACATTTGAAACACATACAAGATTGTGGCCTTTGGCACATAGAACATAAATCAGAAATAAAACAATTTTTCACTTTTTTGGCACATAGAACGTTTGACACATTCACTCTTCATATATGTTACTATAAAAAAATAAAGTCGACATACTTATAATATAAGTTGGTCTACTATAAGTCTTATATGGTATAAGGGATGAAACAAAAAGGTACTTAAAAGTTGATAAATAAAAAAGTATATGTAACTAAAAAAAAAAAAAAACAAAGAAAATATTTCTGAAATTATTTTCATTTTGTAATTTAATGAGTTATGATAAATGAATCACTCTGCAAATATATATAGTAAAATAAGAAAATATATATCATATTAATATATATGTATGTTCAGTAGGTAAGGAACTGGTCAATTGTTATAAATAATGAGATCATAAATACACATTTCCTTAATTACTGAACACTATATATGAAAAACATTTATTTTAGGGACAGGGACACACTAGCTAGGGGGTTAAGAGGAAAATTGTCCCTTGGTATGCTGTTTATAAACTGAGGCCTAATATGATTAGCATAATTCAGTTTATAAAATTCACTTTTGATTTTTTTTCTCATTATTTTTTGTTATGGAACATTACAAATATTTTTTGGTGTGAGCTGGGCCTTCACAATTATTGTGCCATTTAGGCTGTTGGCCTCCCAGTCAGACTCTGTTAGATATTAATAAAAAAATTAATAATGTTATTTTTTATTTAGGATTGGAATTCTAATTCAGTTGGGGATGATGTCTATGAACCTTCGGAAGACACATTTTTACTGTTAGATGCCCTTGAAAACGATTTGAATAATTTGAAAAAAATAATTGATAAAGGAGGTTGCTTAGTTTTAGAACTTGGTAGTGGTTCAGGGGTTATTACTGCTGCATTAAAAAAAACATTGGGTTCTACTGTACAATGTATAGCTGTTGACATAAACCTTCAAGCATGTCATACAACACTTGAAACTTGTTCATTAAATAATGTTAATGTAATTATAATAATTATATAGTATTTGTAAAATTATTAATAATAAATCTTTACCATTTTTATGGATTAGGTTGATGTGATAAATGCGAATCTATTGGATTGGATATTTCAGTCTAAATCTATTGATATAATAATATTCAACCCACCATATGTGCGCTCTTTTGTAAATGAAGGAGATGTTGATGGTAAAATCAGTGACATAAAACATGCATGGTGTGGAGGCCCAGTAGATGGTGCTGATGTAATTAGAAGGTAAAAAAATTAGATAGTTATTATTTCATTAACTTAGTCTGTATATGTAATGTTTATTATTATTCTTAGAGTACTACCTCAAATTAACAGGGTGCTAGCAGATAATGGTGTATTTTATTTATTGATGATTAATTATAATAATCCCGAAAAAATTGCTCATTTTATGGCTCAGGAGTTTTCAATGGCACACAATATTATTATCACTCGTAAAGTGCCTGGTGAATCATTAGTAGTTTATAAGTTTTACAGAACATGATTGTATTCATTTATATAATGAAAAATTTTAAAGTTCATCCAACTTATTGTTACTTGTTGTTAATAATAATTATCAATTAATAAGAAATAGTTATTTTAATCATTGTATTTATAAATTAAATTGTTTTATTTCTTTATTGTAAATTTTTGACTTTTAATGTAAAATTCAATTTATAATTCTTTAAATTTTGTGCAATATATAAAATATTGTTATTTTCAAAATAGGAATAAAATTGAAACTTATTAAATAAACATACATTTTAAGTGCTTATTATTAAATTAAAAATATTTTATTTTTAAAACTAATATATTATTTTTTATAGATTTTAATTTTAAATTAAAATATAATAAAATAATAAATTGATCTAAATTTTGAGAAAAATTCAACTTTTTTTAAACCTGTTAACTTCTAGGGAACTCACTTTTTTAACATTTAAAACTTTTATGATCATTTCTTTTAGCTTCGATGGGAAGCTAATAAGGTATTAATTTTACCATGATGTATTTTTTTTTTGTGTCTGTTGCCCCTTTTTTCAGTTCTCATAGGACCGATTTTGATGAACTATATGTCAAAAGATCACATATCGTATCTAGTTGAAGACATTACCATTAAAAATTGAAAAAAATCCCTTATTCAAATGAAAAGTAACTTAAACTTTTTTATCTATACAAGCAATTAAAATCTTTCATTTCTAATATTTATAAAGTATTTATTGTCAAATTAGATTTGATATTATAAAAATATTCAACTACAAAAGTAAATAATTTTACTTTGTAATTTGTTAATTTTTAAACTTTTTGTGTGTGCTACTACCAGTCTATAACATTAAAATTTTTTTTGAAACATGTTATATAAATCATAAATCTAAAAAAAATGTATTTTTAGTTTCACCTCAATTTAACAATGGATTTTTACAATTATAATCAAATTTTATAATACACTCAATTGAGTAGATATTTTTTTTTATTTTAGCTAAAGTAAATCATTAAAATTAATTCAGTTCTGCATATTTCAACTGTAAAATCTTTTTAAACACCATAAGTTAATTAGAAATTATTATGATTTCTATTTAAGTGATCTATTACGATAAAAATTTGATCTTTTCTGATAAATTTACCGTAAATAGTAATTATAAAATTTGCTGACTCCATATTAATTGTAACAATACCATATTTTACTATTTAATGATGTCAATTAAAATTTGCAAGTTGAGTTAAAAGTTATCTAAAATAAAACTTTCACAATGAAAGTAGGTTAAAAATGATTACTTTTAATATATTAAAAATCAAAATCAATAATAATTTGAAAACAATTTATTATAAAAATTATATATTATATTTTTGAATCTAAGATATATATTAGATATAATTAAGGGAATTGAAGTTGATGTTGTTGTTGTAATTATCCATCATTTTCTAAGAAATAAACACTATCTACAAATTTGCATTGAAGCGTTTATGATAGTGATTTTAATAACTGTCAGATTAAATCTTTACTGTATCCAATTATGTCATATCCCCACTGTGCTGGGTTTTTTTTAGTGAAGCATATTTCTTAATTTATTAGCTATGAATGGTTGGGTTTATTTATACATTAATTTCTACCCAACCAAAAGATTAATTACCCAACATTTATTTCTAAATTTTTATACTCCTAAAATTCCACATATAATAATTTTAAAATAAATTTTCTGAAATAAAATAAGTAATATTTGAGCTATTGTTTTATTTTTACACGATGGGAACGGTCGTTATTACGGCAGCTCGTTTTTTGGTTGCGAGTACGCTCCAGTAAATTTTTTTATCTCGATGCCTTGGACACTAGAGATGTTAATTTCGTGAACGAATAGTTCATTTGAACTATTCTGAACTGTTTCAGTACCTGTAACTTAACAGTTCACAGTTCGAAAAAAATTGGTAGCAATGTATAAATGAAATAGTTCGCGAACTTCTTTAAAAATTCTCTGTGGTTCGTTGTTCGAAATACTGTAAATGGTTAATAGCTGTTTACAATTAGATAACAAATAAATTATATTGTTAAAATGTTACACAGTTTTTAACTGTTTAACAATAAAATAAATTCATACTATGTACAAATATTAGATCAGATTTCTGATTTAACTTAGGACTACTGGTCAATATATCTACCTTGAATTAGGTGATAATGATAACATGAGCCATGAGGGTATTGATAATAATTTTTTCTTAGTTTATGATGTTCAGGTTAAGGGTTAGTTTATAACTTAATTGCCCATAAGTAGTGTGAACTACAACTGAACTGTGTACTGCTATACTAATAGTGATAAAATGAATAGTTCATTGCCAAACAATATCAGCATGATCAATAAAATTAGTGAACTTAAGAATAGTTCATTTGAACTATTCACTTGAATGAATTATGAACTAATGAACTAAACTTTCCATCTCTATTGGACACAAATTCTCGTGAACAGGTTAATGATAAGATAATATATACCCGCCAAAAGTTATCAAATATTATCTGTCAATTTTCTTTATTAATATAAATAAAAAAAAATTCGACTTCGTTCAAGTCTCAAGTTAAATAATTTTAACTAATTATTTATATTTTAATTTAATTATTGAATTAATTGTTTTATAATGTCCGATAATTTGATTAAATTGCGAAAAAGAATTATCAGTACGTTTTCTTTAAACGGATTTGCTATTCAAGAGTATGCTATTACTATTATACATTAGAGTTAAATTTTTTTTTATCATACCGAGTTTGATTTAAAATTATTACTAAAATTCCAGACAAGCTTGTGGTCATTTAGTCAAACAATTGGAACCTCTGTGTAATGATCGTGAAAGAGATATATGGTTAGATAAAATTGTAGATTATGTTCAAAATTCTATACATGAGAATACTTCTACACTTGTTAATTTTGAATTATTAGTTAAAGCGTTAAAGGTATTTTCAGTTAAAGTTATATTATAGTCATCTCTAATTGATAAATGCTTAAAGTTAATTCTTAATTATGTTTAATATATTAGTTTTGTTGTGATTCTGAAGTTCTCAATACCCAAGATACATTAGCAGTTAGAGACTGTATTAAAAATTTCAATTTTAGATATCGATATTGTCCTGTAAAAAAGAAATTTTTTAAAGATATAACAGATAATTCACAGTTATCATTATTTGGAGATGCTCAAGCTAAAATTCAACAATTTTTAGACAGGTTTAATATTACTTTATTATTATTTTTTACTAAATTATATTTTTATAAATAAGTTTTAAGTTGTTAATGTATTTGTAAATTTTTTTTTGAGCCACTTTTTGAACACATCCAAGATCATTTAAATGTAGTACTAGATTATATTTGCACAACCTCTATGCTTCTATGTACAGTGTACAGGTTTAGGTGTACATTATACACCTGTAACAAGTGTACATAGAAACATAAAAAAAAAAAAAATTCTGAGGTAATCCTTTTTCTTTAGCTATAACTAAACTTATTAAAATTTAATATCGAGTATTTAGAAAATCTAATATAGATATTTACCTACTATCAATTGATATAATTAGAATGGTAATAACAATTTTATGACAAAAATACATAGTATTTCGAACTCTATTTATAAATTAATATGGCGTTAAAACAGTGTACTATTATTTTTTTAGTATTTTGGGCGTATAATTAATATTATGAAATAAATTATGCATTTTAATTATTTAATTGAAAATTGTTTTGCTACTTTGTTCAAAAATAATATATATTTTTGTTTTATAACTTATAAAGAAAAATAGTTTCCTGATGTTTGTGTTATGCTGTTAATATATTAGATATACAATAGTGAGACAGCGAATGTTGCGAGTACAAACTGCTAAAGGAAATAGCAATGGTAACAATGCCGGTGGTCAAACTATTGCTGATCGATTACGTGATGTAGACTATTTGTTGAGCTGTGGTAGTGCTGTGAGGCAAAGTGGATATAAATCTTCAAATTCTCCTGGAAGTATAATACTCCTAGGTATGATAAGCCAGTTGAAAGAAGGTCGATATTATTTAGAAGATCCAACAGGTGCTATAAAAATCGATCTCACGAATACAATATCCTTTTAGAGACTCAATTGAAAATAATAATAAATTTACTAATAGTTTTTTCTACAGAAGAAGGATATTGTCATCGGTGGAACAAAACCTTTTATCTCCAGAACGTGAATTTCTTAGAAGACTTGAAACAAAAAAAAAAATCAATAACATTGATAATGCATAAGCGTGAGAAACTGTTTCAACGTTGACATATTCTTGGGTTTTGTGCATTATTCTTTGTTTCGACCCTTGATTAATTGACTTTTCTTTCTGTACATTTTGATCTATAAAACATTTCTGATATTTTTAGAGATACAAGGTACTGTTCTAGCAACGACAATTTAAAAAAATCAGAGTATTTTTATACATACAGTGGATTGATAACTGTAACCACTAGATTTTTTCTTAAATAGTAATTATGTGAATATTTTTTGGTTTTTTTTAAGTAGTATTTATTTTCAAGCGGTTAAATATTTTTTTAGTCTATCGTCTTTATTCCTTATGGGGAACCAACTTAATTTTTTTAAACGGTAATATATGTATTCTACTAGTTTGTATAATAAAAAATGATTGATTGATAATGACTTTTGAACTTGTAGCTCAGGATTTATGATCATTTTTATACCAAGTATAAGATATAGAATGGCAGACTGTTGCATATGAAAGGAATAATATAGCCTGAACCTCAACTCCAGTCTACATTTAAAAATGTTAATAACTTCTGAAATATCAGTTCAAAAGTTGTGATCAACCTGTCATTATCTTAATTAAATCATCGGCTAGACTAATGATCTATTAAATAAATTAGTTGATTATGTATGTTGAAATTGAAAAAAATAAAGTTAGTATCCTTATTGGGAATAAGTGATAAACCTAAAACGTGTTGAACTATTGAAATACCAAAAAATAAAAAATACTAATTAAATTTAAAAAAAAAATTTAATAATTATAATTTTAGGAGAAATTTAACGATCAAAAATAAATCAATCGCTCTATGTATAAAAAATCATGATGAGTACATTGATCCTATAAGTCGCTTACCTCTTAGTTGAGTGACATAGGAGAATATCAACAGAGATAAAAAATGCCATATCTTGAGTGTAGAGGGCTTAGGTATAGGTACAGAGGTAGAAAACTGTGTTTTTGTTACTTCTGACGGTTTATTTATAAGATTGGGCTAGTTAAAGTAGATACCTAATAACAAAAAAAAATAATAAAATGATTCCTTATATATTTTTTTTTACGATTTTCATAATGGATATTTTACTGAAAATTGTTGTGTACTTGCTGAAGGACTGTATGATGAAATAGATTGTATTTTTAAAGTTTCTGATATGGCATTGCCACCTGGTGAAAAAGCTGAAATTAGTAGGTAATAATTTTATCTAATAATTTTCTATATTAGTAAATTTTGTATACTTGTTCCATACTTATATTTTACAGGATTTATTTTGGAGATTGTACAGATGATGAGATTTTCATTAAGTCAAATTCCTCTACTTTAAGAGCCTATGAGGAACAAAAGAAACGTATGATTGTATTTGTTAGTGATATTCATTTAGATAATGCGAAGGTAACTAATACAAAAATAAATTATCACATATTTAACCTAAAACTTACGAATGTATACAATGATGTAGGTTCGTTATTTTTATGTTTTGAAACGACTAAAAAACGTTTTGAACGTGTTTAATTTACGTTAATTATTAAGACCCTTAATTAATAGCATGAATAGTTAAAATTTGAAAATAATACTTATTGTAGCACTTTTCTAATTTAATTCAAATCTAATTGTAGTATTTTTAAAATGATTTAACATAATGTAATAACAACAGTAAAAATGTATAAACAATTTACAAATTGGTTAATTTAATGAAGAATGTGTATGTTTTTATTTATTTACAAAAAAATAAATAATTGTGATATTGAAAAGATATTATGTTGATGAAAAATTTTAATAATATTAAACTCAAAAATTAGCATCCGAGATATTTTGATTATTTGTATAAAACTTTATATAGCTCGATTAGTTTAGTAATGATATACTTATAGCAGGGTGCTCAGAGGGAGTCTAAAAGGTACGACAGTTGTTCCCTCTAAAATTTTTTGTGTCATCTAAAGTAAAAACCAGTGTTTACTGTATAATCCTAGCCACCAAATTTATTAATATGGAATAGTTTCTATGGTAATATTTACTAACAGTATTCCAAAAACTAGAAGCATTATTTGGGAGGGAGCAAGTCGGCTTTGTAAGGTCTACATATAGGGTAATTAAAATATATTGAATGTTTATTTATAGGTGTATTATAATTAATTTTTTAATAATAAAGTTCATAATGTTTTAATAATGAAGTGAGTTGTTTTGTAATACGTATATTGATTAATATTATGCTGTAATTAAGGGGTATTGCAGGCCCATTTTTGAAAATTTTTGTGAGATTTTCACACTCCTTTAGTCTTTCTTATAAATATGCTTTGTGGCGTGGGGACATGTAGCCATATGGCTTAGGCTGTCATCAGTTATTTTAACACCCGAAATATTTTTCTGTAGGCTACCTTGATTTAGTGATATATTTACTTTATTTATGAATGTGATTAATATTTATGTACGTTTTTTTATCCAAGGTTCTTAGTAAACTAAAAATATTATTAAGGGGATTTAATGACCATGCACCTGCTGCAATCGTAATGATGGGAGACTTTTTAAGTGCATCGGCTATACCAGGATCTCAATATTCAAACGAATTGCAAAGTCATTTCAATAACTTGGCAGAGTGGATTGTAGCTAATTGTGAACGTATTGTCAGGGATACAACTCTAGTTGTATTGCCAGGACCCAATGATCGACATTGTGCTAATATCTTACCAAAGTTTGTATTGTTTTAAAATTTTACAATCTACAATTTTAAATTCATGAATATCTTATTAACTCTGCTCACAAAGAAAAAAATAATTTAAATAAATTATTAAGCATTCTAAGTTGATAAATATGAAATGGCTATTTTTGAGTTTGATTACTTTTTTATCAAATATCTCATTTACTATTAAACTTTTTAATTTATTTAATGATGAAAATCTTATCAAATGAAAGACATGTTTTATTATTTGTTTTCAGACTTGCATTTCCAGAATTTTTAACACAAAAATTTAGACAACTTTTGCCTAAAACAGTATTTACATCAAACCCCACGCATATGAGATACTGCACTCAGAGACTATGTATTGTACGTGCTGATCTAATTACAAAAACTGTCAGAAATGCATTGAACCTAAAATTACAGAAAAATATGTTAAATGTTAATACTAGTACTCAAAATGTGGCTAATAATGTAATCTTACATCTTTAACTTATTTAATAGTTGCTTAATTACATTGATGTTTAAAATAAATTATTTACTATTTTAGTATGTTAAAACATTGAAAAGTCAATCTCATTTGGTCTCTCTTCCTGCGGATATTTGTCCAGTTTACTGGACTAGAGCTCAAGCATTAAGTTTATATCCTATGCCTGATCTAGTTTGTGTGGCGGATGGAGATTCGCCTCCATTTTGTATCAACCCTGATGAAAATTCTCAGAGATCAGGATGTGTTTTTATTAATTCGGTAATTTTTGTAAATTATTTTATTATAATGTCTTAGTAAAGTAATTAAAGTACACAGTCAGATTTGTTTTTGTAGTCTAACAAAGATTACAAGTCTATTAGACATAGCATATAAGCTAGATAGTACAGTTTTTTTTTAAACTATAATACACATTTAGTCTAGTTTAACACAAATTGTGATTTTAAGTTAAATTAAATAATTGAAGTAAAATTGTGTTTCGAACAAGAAATAACAAATATTAGCTGAAGATCATGTTATTATATACTTTAATTCGATATTTGCTGCATTTTTAAACATTATCATTAATATAAATTTATATATTTTTAACCAACGTTTAGTAAAGGTGTATTAAGATAGTAATTTTATTAGCACTATTGATAATATATAATCATAACTTGACAAGTTTATATGGTACTTTTCCAAAAATAGCGACCGCCTGGCCTATTGTCCAAAACTAGTGAGTAAAACTAAGTAACAAGAAATCATAAAATAAATGTTATATATAACTTGTTTAACAATTAAATGTTGAAGATGAGTATTTTTCGATTTCATTTTTACAAAAGTTATTTTATGTAATATTTAGAATTTTATTTTAAAAAAAGGTATTTAACATATCTTTGCTAAGCCAAAAAATTTAACTTTACTTTAACTTATTATAACGTTTATACCTAGCCTTGCATTATATCATTAAATAATTAAAATATCTAAGAATAATAAGATTCTAAGCTTATGTTATTATTTTTTAGTCGTCATTTTCCAAACGTCAATATAGTTTTATTGTCTACATGACAGCTGAACGCAAAGCTGATGAAAGTCAAATTCCTCTGGATAGTGTTGATGTAGATGATGAATATGGTCATTAAATATAAAATAAACATTTAATACAGTCTTTAATGTTGTATTAGTATAATTTATATATATATATATAAAAAAAAGTATGTACATTTATATAAATAAATTTTTTTTATACTTATTTGTTGATCTTTAGAAGTATCAAACAATAAAAATTGACTATAAAATATATCATAGCATTTATATTTTAATTTTTTTAAAGTATTAAGTAATCATTACTTTACGAAACTTATAAATACACATATAAAATAATTCGTTAGTAGTTTCTGTTTTTGTCACTGGTCATTAATTGTATAAATAGTAACATCAATTTAACACAAAAGTAACATTATGTAGTATGACAAATAAAAATTTAATTTATAACTTAAACTATGAACATTTAATAAAGTAGTATAGTTTTGGTCACTGGTTTACGACAAATCGGACATTCGTGCATACGATCACCACACATCTGACAAGTCCCATGACCACACATAAAGATCATATTTTTTAGACGATCCAAGCAAACCGGGCACATTGTCTATAAACATTTTAATATCGATTATTATTTTGAAATGAGTACATATAATTTTTTATTTCTATAAATTAGCAGATTTTTCGTACTAACTTGCTCTTTAATGTCTTGTAGTTGTTGTTGTAACTTGACTACGACAACATCTAAATTATCACTCTTATCGAGAGATCCACACGGCTTTGTAGGACGAGCTAAACCTCCGTTGTTCATTATTGAATCTCCAGCACCATAAGACGGAGGAGAGTAATCTATTAAAATTATACAAAAAAATACAATAATTTATTATTTCAAATAATTTTTCAATAGCTTTTATAAAATTTCCGTTCAATTTATAACGCATAATATATCGAATTACTATGTTGCCATACTAATGTCGCTTCGTTACCATACGAAGCAGCAAAATACTGTATAGCAATATAGTAAATGTAATTGAAAAAGGTTATTTTTGAATTTTTTACACGATTTTCGGACACATTAATAGAGTACCTTGAGAATGTCGTTCGCCAATCCTACCAGCAGCAGCATTAGTGTTATACGACGATGTCTTCAAGTTATCCAAGTGCGGTACATGGTGATGATGGTGATGGTGTAGATGATGATTTTTAATAGCGGGATTTGCAGTAACAGCAGCCGGCGCCGATAAACTGCAATAATTAGGAGAAGGTACTGAAGGGGTCACAGACCTTGATACAGCGGATGAACACGTGCACGCACATGTGACACAACACTGTCGAGGGACTGCTGCTGTGTCGGCCGACAAAGTATTGCTTTGTGAATTTATAATTTCGTCCGCTGAAAGTGGATCCACCGGTCCACTTTGAAAAAGTGGAGGATCCGCTGATATATCGCCGTTGTCGATTTTTTCGCCTACCTGTAAAAAAAAAAAACGTTCTTTAGTAAATCGTCTACGGCGCAATAACTGTCGACTTACAGTTGGTTTGAGAGAGCGGTTCGCTGTAGATGAGCATTCGATATCGTCGGGTTTACCGGCCGTCGGATTGGGTTTTGCGCCCTCTCCGCAATAACAACAACACGCTCGAGTTTTATTAGCTACCGCGTTGTTAATCGGTTTTTGTTGAGCACTACTGGCAAACGATTGTGTATCGGTGGCGTTCGATTCGCTGTCGGAATACGGAGACGGCTGACAGGCGTTTTGAGGAGCACTGATATTTGATTGTTTTTGCACGAGATTCTGATGAGCGACGGAATGTCGAGGGGTAGTGTTGCTCGTCAAATTGATATTGTTATTGTTTGGCGCCGAAGTGTTGCTACAACAGTGCGAAGGAGACAATGGCGGAGAATCGATCTTGTTAAAAGCAACTGCAGACGTGGAAGGCGGCAATGATTGTAATGGAATTGCCGACGCTCCGACGTTTGTGACCGTATCTTGCTGTTGTCTGTCTCTAAAACATGTGACACAAACGCGTGTGTAAATGAATAACACGAAAAAGGGAATAGTTAGTCACTCCCGGAATTCAAAAGACTAAATTTTCAAAAGTACCCATTCAATATGTGTTATATATATATATATATATATATAACACTTATGAGTTATGAGTTTTGAACGACTAAAGTAAAAATTGTAAACGACAAGACAGTTGAAATAGACGAATTTTGTAAGATATTAAAAAAGGACTTTTTTTAAGGAGCAGATACCAGACCAAAAGACATCTGGTATCGGTGTCATAATCGTACGTCGGCTGTGCTCTCGACGTACAATCGTGACACTGATACAAAATAATTTACATAGTCGATAGAACATAAATAGTAGAAAAAAAAATTACTTGGCACATTTAATGAGAGCTCGGCGAAGAGCAGGATCTGGGCAAAGGTCTAGCGGCGTTTGACCTTTTTTGTTACGTTGATACAAATCGGCTCGACCGGTACCCGCTAAAAAGCAAGTAATAGAACTCGATATTGAACTAGATGAAGAATTTCCAACAGCATTTGATGCGCCAGAAGCTGGCAGAGAAACCGATGTTTTCTTATCAGTACCAGTTTTCATTAACATCGAACCTCCGCTGAACAACTGAAAAATATAATAATTATTGAATAATTCAGTATAACAATTGTTCATAGGCGCGATTAAAGGGCTAGGCTTCTCAAAAATATAATTTGCCCCCCTCCCCTAAAATTTATAAAATTATATTGTTGTTTAAGACGGGGGAAAATTAATTTAGTACCCCCAAAAATATACCCCCTTGTGGCGCCTACGATACTATTCATATAATAAAATAGGGATAATCGATATACAAACAAAACAATCTAAAATATTAAGAAATTTATAATCTAATTAATAAAGTATACTATATAAAAGCTAAAACGGATAGATGCCGTAATATAAATTAACGTTTAAAGATTTTATACGAGAAGAGCCAACTCTATTTACATCTGTAGATATTGTTGGAAAATATTTAATACAATTCACATTTATCTAATTAAATTAATTATAATAAATTCTGGATCATTACTTAGAAATATATATACCAAATGTGTAAACACGTGTGCTTGGTTTTCATAAAAACATACGTATTTTTTTTTTGGAGAGCTAGTTAAAAAATAAACCGTAATGCTATAAGCGCATTCATTAGTAAACAAAATTAAATATAATTTGTTACGCAATAAACAACACTTTATGATGTATGTTTTTAAGTATTCCATAAATTCATATAAAATAAAATAAATAATATGGAAATAGCGGTGGAACATATATATGTATAATATATTAGTTTTCCCATCATAATAAAGCGCTGTTTATTTTATGACAAAATAATGTGCCTTGTCGCCCATTATACGTAATTATTTTGGTAAATAAATGTTAAAAATACAGTAATTTCTTAGAGTTATTTGCGAAGCGATATATATATATATATATATATTATAAAGGATTTCTACACTTGACAAAATGAGTATACGCCGAGGTTAAAAAGCAGACTAAAAATGTGCATTAGGTCGACCGACAGGATCGTTTTAATAAACAAACGCTAAGCCGTAGAAATGCGCGGAGCTTCGAAAAATACTCGTAATTAAATGACGGGTTAGAAAATAATTAACGGCCGAGTAAATAAAAAAAAAAGATTAAATTAATTGAAAAAGATAAAAACGTTGAAATTATTAAAAATACTATCTGATCGAAATAGTTTCCAGAGAGAATTGAGATGTTGTGCACTGGACGATTTGTAAAGATTAATGAATATTAATATTATTCGTCGTCGGTACTGGAAATATTGAAATGATTTGTGGAGATGTGAAAAATAAAAATTCGTTTCTACTAAATATGCAAAATATTTCGCGTAAACTTTTCTTTGAATCTATTCAAAGAGTTTCTATCTAAATGGAAATCGCGAACAAGAAAAGTACCGAAGTTTTTATGAGTTTATTCGAATCGAGTCCCGCCACCGTCAGCGAGTAAAACTTTTAGCCGTCACGAATTTAATATTTTTTCGTTCGAATACAGTTAATTATCATAAGTCTTGTGGGAGGCTGAGCTCGACTCAACCCCGAGACTATTTTTAGCGGTCGACTCGTGACTACATACTCGTTTTTCCGAGATGATTTCCTCTGGCAAGCTATACGGTTTCGTCTCGGCCCATAAACTGACACAGATTTCCATTTTAGAGGAAGCCTCGTGAAGGGTAATTCACTGTGTTTATCTACTCGGTACGCGTATGTTCTTCGAGTATTACAATAAAACTAATCGAGTCGGCGAATTAGTTTATTTATTTATTATTTGGTTTACATTTGAAAAACAATAGTGTCGCGGAGATTACGAGTCCGGAAAATCAAATATTTCACACATCTTTTTCTCCGCTAAAAAACCGATTAGCTCGTATCTCGATTTGACGGTCAATTTTTATTTTTTCAATGAAATCTAATTAGCTTAAATACATGGAAATCTGTTCGATAATCCCAATTATTTGGAATTCGTTTACTTTGTACAATTAGCGAAACGATTAATTTTTTGATAACGAGTAATTGCCAAATAATTTTCCACGATAGCGACAACACTACGACGTCTAACCGCGTGCCGCCCTTATAGCAATCGCTCGTTACCTTATTGTCAGTCTGACAACAATTGGCAGAGGCGGTGGCCGGTCCCGTGGTCCCGATCGTCTGTTGCATCTGACGGATTTGCTGGAGAGTGTGATGTCGCAGGGCTTCGTGAAGAGCCGTGTCCCCGTCCTTGTCCGGCACGTTAGGATCGGCTCCGCTTCGCACCAACAACTGTAAACGATAAATGTCACGATTGTTTTCTCTATTGACGGCAATAACGTCCGGGCGGGCAACGACAGTGCCGCGGGACGCCATTTGCGACGGCCGTGGTACATACCCTTACGATTTGCACGTGCTGCCGTTCGACGGCCAGGTGCAGCGGAGTCTGCAGGTTAACGTTGCGCGCGTCCGTATCGGCTCGGCCGACTTCCACCAACAGTTGAGCGACTTGTGTGTGATTGTTGAGGGCGGCCAAGTGCAGGGCGGTGTAGCCGTCGTCTTTCTTCTCGTCCACCATCCACCAGTGTCTACGAGGCAATTTCGACAATAGAACGCTCATCGCACTAAAAAAAAAAAAAAAAGATTTAACGAGTACTCTGACGACGAGTAAAAAGTGCGATGGTTTTTATAAAACCATTCAAGTTACCTATCACAGTTTTATTTATTATATTAATCACACAATGAATCATAGAATGCGTCAAAGAATTTTTCCAAAGGACTTCAACATTATTTTATGGACTCGAAAAGTCATGTCCTAAAAATACCCTCTTTTATCTTATCGACGAGTGTTAATAAAAGCGTGTAAAATAAATTTCTCTTGTCGTTAAACAAGTCCCGTTTAACGACAAGAGAATTTTATTGACCGTAATTAAAGTAACCAACGCGATTAGGATATTAAAATAGACGAGTCGTCAAAAATCGAGAATAATTTTATGCAGTTAAATTTCGTACGATAAAAAAGTTTTTCACACGGCGGTATTTATTTTTCAACTTATTTAGAGAAAAGGTTTATTTTTTGTTTTTCAAAAAATCCCCTCTGTTTTGATGGGCTATTGGTTTTGAGTTTCGTTTTTAGTCGAGAACCGAGATTGTTGTCTTAAAATTCTACGTCGCCGTTTCAGTGAATCGAAACTTATATTAATAACGATATTATATATAATTTATATTAAAATAATTTATCAGCCCGAACGTGCTAATTTACTCTTATGTTACCGTAAAGTTCTATTGTTTACTATTGAAGATACGAAGAGGCGCTGGTCGTTATAAACCGTACGCGTTCTCGAGTCGGTTATCGGTTTCGGCCGTCCCATAAACTTTGTTTACGCGCAAAACATCCTTTTATTAAAACAACGGGCCACTGATTTTATGCACTCCGATGATCTCATTAAATTAGCGATCGCAATACGCGGAACACCATACCTCGGGACTTTCTCACAAACACTTTGTTGTTTTAATAATATCCGCTGCCAGGCCGTTACCGACCGCAAAAACGAGCCGACTTACAAATGAACGACCCGATTCGCGTTCTTGGATAGTAAAAAAAAAAAGGATTCGAATCAAAACGATATAAAAACACCCCTAGGTTTCAATGGCTATTTGTTTTTTTTTTTTTTTTTCAAAGTTTCAATACCGCGATCCAAACGCTACATGGTAAAAACGTTGGATTCGAGGGGACTAAGCCCGACACGGTTTTACATGTTACCGGTCGTCTAACTTTTGCAGTCAAACGGCAGTTGTGACCGCGTGTACATTATAATCGTGGGGAAACGGCCTCCGCCGAGACGGCGTCGCGGGAGGCTCTCTAGCAGGCGGATGCTGCTGCTGAAGGATCATCAGCCTCGACGACTACCACATGTGTTGAGGAGGTAAAACACGTGTGGGGTACACGACGACGACTGTACGCGGAGAATGTCGTACACGGACGATAAGAGTAGTAGGAGAGAGAAAAAAAAAAAGGGAAAAAAAGGAACAGCGTGTAGTACCCAGGGACGGCGACGTGACGATTATATTTTCATCGCACGGCTCGCATGACGATAATTAAAGACGTGTCTATTTCCAGTCGGAGAAATAGACCTATACACCTACCGGTACGCGTATTAGAGAGTACATTGGCTGGAGCACCGCGTGTGTCGATCCAGCAAACCACTCAGTGTATTAGCAGTCGGTTGTCTCTTGGCCAGATTTCGAGTCACTGAAAACTGACGTTATTTTTAAACAAATTAAACTATCGACCGCAATACAACAAAGATTTTGTTTGTAGGTAGTTAACGCAGCGGGTTGTAAAATATCATGGCCGAGATGTACGTCAACACAAATAGTTGCGGTAAAAAATTAAACAGTTACTCTTTTCTTCGGTGACAATAATCGCAAAAAATAAAAGTAATAAGAAACGGCAATTAATTATACGCGAATAAATAATTTACGTGTCATTGTCGAAATAATAATAATAATAATAAATATAGTTTGGAGTTGTCGTATCTAAAGGCAGCAGCAGTACAGAGTTATGGTGAAAAAATGATTTTCGTGATAAACAATGAAATATTATCGTACTTAACTCCGCCCGAATGTCGACATTCTGTTATTGCCGAGGGTTCACGAAAAATATTTATCATCATGAGTAGTTTGCCGAAACAAACAGTTTGCTTAAAGGTGTTAAAGACGGTTGGAGTCATTTTCTTTAACGACCGAGTAAAAATAAGCTTAGAAAAAAAAAAGGAATTTGCCTAAATTGTTTTAATTTTTGCAAAAAAAAAAAAAATGAAATAAATTAATCTAATTCTTCAGTTGAAGTACTAATAAATTTATTTATCGAATATCTGTACCCCGTGTAAAGTAATTTAGTATTAAATTTGTTTTAGATATTATTAACATCCTACGTCAGAATAACGCACAGAAAAAAGGAACGGTTAATATGTACAAACGTTTATTTAGTATAAACGGTGACGACTCCAATAAAAAGAGTTGGAATAACTAAATAAATGACCGAGTCAACGGAATATTTAGTTATTCCGACCGTCTTAATTACAGTCGTCGCTATATTAACCTTTTATACGACTACAATAATCACTACGAAAAAAAAATACGACTGCAATAGTAGTATTTTTTGTCCCTGACACGGTTTCGTTAAAATTTATATTTTTTCGTCAGTGTTGTTGTGTGTCATTTTGACCGTTGCTATAATGAAATTACAAGTCTTCTAATCAAAAAAAATATATAATTTTTGTGTTCAACTGCTCATTGTAAACAACATATTTTTTCGTATCTTTAAATACAGAACACTCAAAGTACCGACATTTGTGAGCAATCCTCTAAATTCGTCATCGAGTTTAAGAAGTCTTCGAATCGATTTGATCGCGTATAAACTAACTCTGGGCTTTCTATACACGTATGAATGTAAGCGAGCTGAAATATTATTGGGTGCGACACTATCGTCACTCTTTTGTCACTATTTGTTTAGTTATTTTTGTAAAAAAAATATATATATATATATATATATAATTACAATAATGACGAAATTTCGCTCGATAACGAAAATAAAAAAATATTTGCACGAGAAGGTCTTTGGTTGCACGTGACACGCCATTTTTAGGTTAAAAAACGGAAGCCGAATAAAGAAAAAAACAAACCGTTAACGCGGTTCTTATCTTCTATCACGTGCCCCAAAAGTATAAATAACGGACGTCGACGGTACAATTTTTAAGGGGAAACGGACAAAGGTCATGCTTTGCTGTAAGCAGAGGTTGTTTACTGATATTTTCGATATGAAAAGGTACGCCCGAGGCGTTAAATGCCGTTACGGTGGTAATGTATTCAAAATCGGCTCTTTGCACTCTACGCGGTTTTCGGTGACTACCGCGTACTCGATCCGTTTAAAATAAAATGGCTTTTGCGGAGCCCCCGGGAATTTTTTACGTATGCACGGCGGAGGTCGACGTGCACGTAAACACATGAATTCAAACTTCTCTAGGCGATCGATACGGCCGTGTACTACACGGATTATCGTTGGCAACACCGCAAACGGCTTAATTTAGGAACATTTGCACAGATACAGAACCGTATGCGAGTCTCTAAGTGCAAGTTGGGAACTGGGACGGTCCCTTAGAGACGGACTGAAATCTCGCACTTTTCGGCGATTCGCGAGTCTGCGACGTCCGGGCGGATCGCGTAAAAAATCGATTGATTTTCCTCGACGGATTAAAAATAGAATGAATTTTTCGGAACGCCTTTGGATCGTAACCTATCGTTTTATTACCGATAAAGAGTATAAAACACGTGTGAAACGGCCGGTAATCGTTTCTAGGTGTGATAGAGACACGAGTTCAACAGCCCACCGGAGAACAGCGCCTATAAAAAAAACAATACGAACATAATACGCGTTTGTATATTAAATTAAGTAATAAAACGAGCTTTGTACTGCGGCGGCACCTACTCTGCACTGCGTTAAACTTTTATAGAGAAAACGCATTTCAAAACAAATGGCCTATACTCGCGCGCGTTCGACACATACATTAATATAAGACGTTTATTACGGAGCTTTACGGTCGTAGAATTCCCGTATACACTCAATCGGGTAGTTAATTTTTTAGGTTTTTTAACGCTTAAGCTTTACAGCCGGCCGTTTATTATCTAATCGACGGCGACCTACCGAAAACGGGACGTACATAACGAACGCTAATGCGTACAGGTCCTGTTCGTTGGTCATAATTACACAGATAACGCAAGGCGCAATGCGACGGGCGCTTGACGGGCGTCGCACGGGAATTCCTCGAACGGCAGACGGGCGTTACACACGAGTGTTTAATGTTCGATTTCGGCGAACTCAAGCCGGCGCCGTCGAACTTTTCTCGTCGACAGCGTCCGCCGAGACATCCAATTGAATTAGTTATCGGATTGTTTGCACAACATTATTCAAACAACTCAAAAGTCAGAACAACAATACGACGCCGGTGACGTTTAAATACACTTGTTTGTTTTTACAATACTCAAACGCTACACCCGTCGGTCCAGTCCAAATGTAAATCACCGCGACGATAAATACCAAATTAGACACTGCGGCGGCGGGTAAATCAAAAACCGGCGGTTTTGTCGAGTTCAATTGTTTGCGTATAAATTATCAGGCAGCGACGGCCAACGAATGTTTTTCCGCAGTCGGTTTATCTATTGTCTACTGGAAATCATTTGATATCGCCAGCGCCTTTAGAAACATTATCATTAGGGGAAAGAAGCCATTGCTCACAAAATGAAAGCGGTCCGTTACATGGGCATTGCTTTATATTTATGTAGCTCGAAAAAATGGACAAAAGCCAAGGCTTTAAGAAAAAGGTTCGAATTTATGTTGTAACTCGAAAAATTCAAATTATCGTCAGTAAGCGGCGATTTCATCAATAAATTACCAATAGACTGCTTCATTAAATTGTGTGTCAGCGCTGTTTGTAATAAGAACGTTATCCATAAGAATTAGTGCTGTACGACGAGCCGAATTTTAATTCGAGTCACATACTTTTATGTGGTTCGAGTGTTTTTAACGATGTACGCGGGTCAAAAAAACTAGTGTTAATTTGTA